AGGAAATTATTCTAAACCAGTACGATTTTACTAAACAAACTATACCTTTATTTCACGTATACTCTACGATAATATTTACACGTCACTTATCGCTGATATACCGAGGGATTATTAAAATCTCGCGAAAAAAATATTTTACCGACTGTACGGTATCGCGAAGATATTTTAAAAAATTTCATACTCGTAAGTTCATACTGAAGTATTCGTAGATTACAGAAAGAAAATTTTCCCCAAAAAAATAAAATAATTTTTAGCACCTCGCTCTTGCAAAACTGCTAAGTCTGCCGCAATCATATGACTCGTTCACTCAGTGTCAGTGCCTTTGACGAAGGTAAGGCTAGGTTAGGTTACGTATGCAAGCATGCATTTCCAGTTTCGCACGGTGCGACATGCAGGATCTTCGCTCGGATGCGTCTCTTTTTCTTATCCTTAATTGAGATCCAGGAAAAAGGCTAGAAATGGTCACGGCGAATTGTCCATGTAATCAAACGTCGAAGTTACGTAATCAACGAGATAAACAACATAACGAAGTATAACGAAGCGAGAATGCGCGCGTGACCTATCTCCCCCGATAGTCCGAAGCGAACTAGTTATGCGAAATCCACTTTTGAACGATAGATCAAGTATTTTCGTCTAAATCCTTCAGCTCGATAAGCCTCTCTCTCTCTTTTCCCCTCTCCTCAGCTCCCCACTCGAGCGACTTGCGTTTTCCATGATTTCCCCTACCGCGCGGACGCCAACTCCCCTTCCCCCACTAAAAAATACATCCCCACCATCGAGCCCACTCGTTCCATGTGGCCAGTACTGTAATTATAGATTCATTCACTCGAGGCGAACCGTCAGTTGCTCGTTGGCATTCGCACGAGCAGGAGGTTCGTCGGTCGTCGCGCCGTTGTGTATAAAAGAAAGTGGAACCTCTTCGAGAAACTGTAGACAGTGAAATATAATTTGTTTAGGAGATAAATCTCGAATTATCCAAACGTACTGTACGGTGAAATTTCGTGATACAGGACACACAGTGTATATTCGGGTCAAATCGATCGTAGGCGGAAGCTTCAACGCCGGTTTGACCGTTGACTTTGTACGATTTGAATATTTCGTTCTCTATTCTACATTGTATGCGCAACGTACTTTTCCATACCGTGCAATGTGCCTATGTGGGATTAAACGTTGAATTTATTTGGATCATAGACGAATAAGGAATCCGAGGTAAGCACTCGAAACTCACGTCACATAATCTCTCATGGTCTTCTTGACGATCGAACGTTCAATCGGCCACTGCTGCTTAGCTGTCTTCGAATTTAATGAGTTCCTGCTGGGTGCTTGACTCCCGGCGTGCGTTATTCCGCGTAGGAGCTTCTCCGAGAACGGTAGGCCTTTGTGGCGCGATCCGCGGACGCGTTGTGAATTCGGTATAGTGTACCCCTAATTAGCATAAGCCGTCGTCGCGTTGTGAACTTCCGAGAAACTGCAAGGCCGCCGGTACTGGCGATCAATTTCTTAACGTTTTAAATCGGAATTCCGTTACGGCTGTCCCTGAACTCGATTTACGTCGGTATTTATACACACGTGATACCCCGCCTGCCCGATGTGAAAATGTGTTTTAACCTCTGAAAAGTACGACAAGGACGTAGGAAAACAGACGGAAAGCTAAAAATTTATAGCACGGCGCATCGGAAAATTAAATTTGATCGCTCGCTCTGCGTCTTTGCCAAAAAAGCCTTTTTCTTCGTTACGTCCGCCATGCTCGTTAAGGAGACGTCGTCGCCCACCGACGGCTCCTTCCGCCCTCGTGAAAGCAGACGCATCTCGTTCCTCCTTGATGTTGAACTCGAAATCGCAAATGATCCCGGGAATGAACTTTCTCTCCTTGGAAAATGAAACGGCGCGCTACAGCGATTCTCTGAACTCTCCCACTAACGTCGTGGCTCGCGTCGTTCCTCGTCAAAAGGAGGAAGAAAAAAGAAAGAAGAAAAAAAAGGAACGAGGTTCTCTCTGCATTCCTAAGATACGCCCCTGAGTAGGAAAGAGAGGCACGACTAGTTACCGTGGGACGGCGAGAAAGATGGAAATAATAGAGTAGCCAGTTGGACGGACGGAGTCACGAGAGTGAGTGAGACAGACGTAAGGAGAAAAGGAGTAACGGAGACACGTTCTAGATGCACTAGAGAACGAAAGAGACATCGATGACAGAGACAGATGTATATATATAAAGACTGAAAAGACAGAGAAAACTCTCTCTCTCTCACACACACACAGTCTTGCCAATGCCGTTTCACTCGATAATCGTTGCCAAGAAGTCGGATGCAGGTATAGTGGCGACGGCAGTAGAGTAAAGCAGAAACGCAGCAGGGCCCTTTTCGAGGGGGCGCCCTTCAGCCGTGTTTTTATTTTTACCAGACCCAAGGGACA